TTTAAGAGATTTTATTATGTGTTGTGACAAAAAATTCCCAAACTTATAAAAACAAATCTACGTAATCTTTAAGAAACAAATTTCTAACAAAAGACAAGTTGAAAATAAGAAAACAATTTCAGATAAATTGCATATAAAGTTTTTATCTTTATATTAAATATAATTGAAATTTGCAGCATCAACAACAACAGTGGGTTTCATGGTTTGTTCAAGGTTAATGGAAAGCTCAATGGGTTAACCTTCTTGAGGTCTGTTTCCTGTAACAAAGAAGTTGTTTCGATTCTTATAAGAAAGATGATCAAAAGGCCCGAGCTTTAGCTCAGAATCGACGGATTCTCCATGTCATCTTCTCTCGCCGGTTCAATCCTCTTTTTTTTTCTCACCTTTGACGTCTCTGCTTTTTTCTCATCTCTCAAATCGATATGCTGTCCACAACCACAAGCGTATTTATTGACGCTGAATTTACAAGAGAAAGGTAAAATTTAACTATGGAAATTCTCTTTGCGCTTGATTCGATATGATTTATAGTTCCTCAAATCTTAATCCCTCTAAAACGACAGCCCTTCAACTGAGATTGAAGTCTGAAGCAATGAAATCATCCTCCGCTGACCCCAGCGAGACATCTCGATTCATAATCCTGACTACGCAATTTCTGAGATTTGTTTTTATATTCGTGTTTGGGATCTGATTGTTTTAGAGCTGCGACAAGAGGTTGATTTTTTTAATCCTACCATTCTAAACCGTCCTTCTCTCTTGATATCTGTGTTCATGTTCGCTGCATCTGGGAGTTTGGTGACTTTTCTGAATTCTGATAAACTATGGTTTCAAATGATCATGTGTTCACTCGACAAACCTTTTCGGTTCGAGTAGTTAACCTTCACCTTAGGTGGACAAAATGAGTATAAAAAAATGGAGAAATTTCAAAAAAATGTCATTTTTCAAGCCACTTTACAAAAATGCCACACTTTTGAAATTTTTACAAAAATGCCACTTTTTCAAAATTATTTTTTCTTTATATTATTTATGTTTGGGTTAATTATGTTCTATTATGGTTTAGTTTTGAGTGTTTANGGGNTTTTANNTNTCAAAANATTTTTTAGGNTTTAGAATTTTANNATATAGGNTTTATAAATCTATAATTAGTGGTATTTTTGTAAATGGACACCCCTAAGTGACATTCTTGCAAATGTGCACACAAAAAGTGGCATTTTTGTAATTGTCCCATAAAAATAATTAAACGGGGTAAAAAGTTAAATAAAAAGAGGAATGATAAAAGGGAAAGTAAATTATATATCTCAAAGTCTCATAACATATATTGGGTGTAAATGGTATCGAGGAATTTTGCGGAATTTCTGAATCTTTCAGAATTTTTAGTTTTTTTGCGGAATTTTTCAGAATAACTTTTGAATTTAAATGGTAACAGCGGAATCTTGCTGAATTTTTTGAAAATAAATTAATTAATTAAGCTTATAAAACTGTATTTTAATAAAATTAAATAACTATGTTTAAAAATGTATTAAAGTTTACAAAATAATTATATTTTATTACATTATTTTCTAAATCCAAATTATTTTTTATC